TGGGGTCTAAGACAACGTTATCAAGAATTGCAATAAGGCTCAAAATATTGTCAAAGTCTGAGTCCCTCAAATCCCTTCTTAGACCCAAGTTCCACTCAATCCCAGAAGTGGAAGAGGACGGGGTGGTAAAAGACGATATTGGCTCATTTTTCAGATCAGAAAGAGCAAACAAAGAAGGGAATTGATCCTTTAGAGGGGCACTCCCCACCCAGGTTTGTTCCCAGAATTTTATGGAGTTACCGGAATTCAATTCATACCTGATATTAGGGTAGAAAACTGGTAGCAAGTCATGAATGGATTTCCAAGGAGAATTGCTTGTGGTCCTAGCTTTGATTCCAGCGTCCCATCCATTATGCTCCAGCCCATGAATACTTGCCACTATTCTAGCCCATAGCTTCTCCTTCTCCAAGGGGAATCTCCACAACCACTTTCCCAACAGAGTCATATTCCTTCTCCTAATATTCCCAAGCCCCAAACCACCACATGTCTTATCAGTCTTAAGATTAAGAGAGACTTATCTTATCTTATCAGTCTTATCTTATCAAGATAGAGTTGGAGGTCTCCCTATTCAGCAAGGAGTCTCCCTAAGAGCAGGACTCTTGTAATCTCCTATTTAAGGAGCCACTATTATTGAATAAAGGCATCCAAAATTTCAGTCAAAGAGAAGAGTAAAGGAGAGTTAGGGTGATCTCTTGGACAAATCACCCCTTAGGTCGCCACGATAGGGTCAGCACGCAAAGGGTGGGGCAAGGGGAAACTAGAGGTTCTCCCCGTGGACCGACCCGTGACGAGATCCTACGCTCGGGCCCATAACAGGGAGGCACTTCTTTTCTTTTTCTTTTTTTTTTTAGCTGGTCGCAAAAACTTTCTTGCAACCCTTAATAAAGTGTGGACAGAATATACTTTTGTTTCAAATTTAAAACACTGGACTTATCTGTTTTTTATTTAATCACTATCGTGTTTGCATATCATCGAGGGGTCATGTTTGCAGCAGATAGTTTCTACTTTATTTTACTTGTGATAAGGCTCCTCTTAGGAGGACCACTGTTGTACCTTTCAATCTGCTGCATATTTTCGTATGCAGTTTGGATTTTAATAAAATTTTATACTATAAAAAAAGTTTGCAGCAGATGTGATCTTGGAGGAAGGAGAGTTGGGGGTGGGTGGGGACTTGAGCAAGCTACTCCTTGGTTACAATTGGAGGATGGGGAGTTGGGGGTGGGTTTTCAAGATTAACATCTTTTATCCTCCCATAATGAAACACAAATGTCCCCCTCTTTTTCTGCATATAGTATAGGCTCAACCATCATTGTCAGAGTTGTTATGGAATCATGCTTCAAGAACAGACAGGTATATTGATCTCCTCAAAATTTTTCAAGGATCATGGACCAATGGACCATAGAGGGTTGGATATCCCCCCCCCAGTTGTAACCATTTGTTATCATAGTTGTCAAGGTATCTAGGCTATTCTAGGCGATAATGGAAGACCTAGTCACTTCTGCAATAGAATTTTACAAAGAAATAACCATGTTCTACTCTAGTTCCCTAATTTTACATGCCAATCAGCATGCATATAAATTGAAAAATGGAAATGCTTTTTGCTAATGGCATTGGCCTTCCTCTAAAAACATAGTAAATCACCATATCTAAAAGACAATTGTATTTTTAAATATTTCAAATACAACACTTTAACACAAGCATTTTAACAGAACAATTGCATGTCAAAAAATTATTAGAAACTAAAGAAAGCTATAATATTATATTAACTTAAAAAATTTAAGAGACAGAGAACAGAGTAATAAAAAGGGAAAGGAACAGAAGGCAGATCCCTTTTTCTATCTTATTTTTGTTGTGTGTGGGAGGGTGTGGGTGCGCGTGTGCTTGACAGGCTTTATTTATTTTTTTCATCTTCAAAATTCTTCTTTTCCATACACTCCAAACTTGTGCTTGTGGAAGCATCCTTCAAAGTTCGTAGCCTCAAGTAGGACCATCAATTGAGATGTAAATTTTGTTGGCTAAGGCATTCTTGACGTAGCACATTATCTAGACTGATAAAGTGCAGTGCATGATCTAGGATCACCTTGAATGCTTAAAAGTTCAAGCTGTATAGATACTGAGTTCCCAATATTCTCCATGATTATAATGTATGTATGTGTGTGTAATTCATGTATTATAACCATGAAAGTTTTCTTTTACTTTTATTTCAAAACTCTCTCTCTCTTGATCGATAGAAACATTGTATTTCTTCTGTTGGTTTTGGCATGCAGTTAAACACTTACTGAGCTTATGGTGTCATGTATTGTAGACAATCACATAACCAGGGTCCAAGTCTTAGGCTGCAATTAGCTTTCTTACATAAGCAGAGGAGCATGTTACAAGGACTACTTCAAAGCTTGGAACTGCTTGGTTGGTGTGTGGAAACAGAATGACGCTAGAGGACTTCTTTACCCTGACTGAGATGAAGGATGGGCTTACAGCCCCTGCCAGAGTTGAGGAGCTAGTTTCTATGATAAAGGAAAATGATCTTCCTGGGAAGAATGTCAGAGAGGCAGCCAGACAGTGGTGCACTGTTGCAAGCACCTTGGCAGCCACAGAAAATAAGGATTGTCTTAACCGCTTTATTCATTTAGATGGGCTCCATTTCCTTAATCAATGGCTCCATGAAGTGCAGAAGTTTAGTAATGACAAAAGCGACAGTTCTGCAGAAGAATCAGTAACTGCACTCTTGGGTGCACTTGAGAAGCTGCCCATTGATAAAGAGAAATCAGTTTCTTCTGGAATTGGAGTAACTGTGAATCATCTTTTTAGCCACCACAGCTTCAAGGTTCAGGATAGGGCAAGAGCTCTGATTGATGGTTGGAACCAAGGAAGACAGAATGAAGCCAGTAATAAAGATGCTGAAAAAAATGAGGCATGCCTTAATGACAATGTTTCGCCCAGTGGAGAAATAGCTGTTGAGAGTGGTTGCCTGGAACAGACAGTTCTTAATGTTACTCCTTTCAGAGGATATGCTGATGAAGATAATCACATAGTGGAGCCTTCTGGGCGTGAATCCCAGCTATCAAGAAGCTCAGATAGCTCTCACTCACAGAGTCTTAAAGACATAAAGCTCCCTATGTCTGGTAATCAGGGTATTTCTCAAAATTCAAGCCCGTTAGAGGGAGATGAGCTCCCAGGAGATGCTCTTGGCTCCTCTGTAATGGAAGATTCCTCTTTGCCTCGTGCAGATGGGACAATCTCCCCAGGGGCATGCACTTCCCCAGGTCCAGTTGAAGTTGATGTTAGGAAGTCCTTAGATGTTTCAGAATTAAAAGGTTTCACTGATGACAAGAAAGAAATAGACATACCAGATGACCTTGGCAAGGACGTGTCTTCTGTTTCTGCATCACTGGGCCCTGAATATGTTTCTTCTACGGATGCTGCTGCTGCTCAGAAATCTGTGGTGGAACTTTCTGTACCAACTGGTTTTGATGCAAAAGAGATGAAACTTTGTCCAAAGAAGATTTCTCCAACTACTTCCACTTGTCTTGACAGTGATGTGGTTACACTATCAGAACCAAAGAGGGGGTTAGTTGATTGTGGGGTAGTAAAACATTCCAGAAGCACAATGGATATAAAATCTAGGGGTCAAGCTGGTGAATGTATTTCCAATGTTTCAGAGGACTTATCTGGCAATGGCTATATCTCAAGAAAGACAGAGGGTTCGCAGATTTCTTTTTGCAGGAAGGAAGACATTGATCCAACAAAAGATCTCAAGGACTTTTCTGGTGAATCGAGTTTGAAGGTAGGGAAAGGAGAGGAGTTGGCACTACATGCTGATGTTTCACAACAGACGATAGATGCTGATGTTTCACGACAGACGATAGATACTGAAGGCTCAGATAAGGTTGACAAGAGAAAATCAGAGATGGACCTTGAGTATGGTGTAGATGATGCACTTGAAGTTGCTAGACAAGTTGCTAAAGAAGTGGAGCAAGAGGTAGTGGATTATAGAGAACCATTATGTAGTTCTTCCTCTGAGAATAATTCAGAAGGTGGAGTTGTGCAGCACTCTAGCCTTGATTCTATAAATGGAGAGCAGGACCAATCGACAATGGGACCACAAAATGAGGTCCCAACAGGACAAAATCTTTGTGCAGTGGCCTCGTCACCAAATGGAAGAGAGCATTTAATATGTTCAGATAACGGGGATAGAAAATCTGAAGATTGCATGCAAGATATGGAGATATCCCAGGTCACAGAAGCTGCTCAAGAACCAAATAGTACCACCGAGAAGGACATTTATGAATTCGATTTGAACAAGGAGGTCTGCTCAGAGGAAATGGATCGCCCAATGACTCCAATATCTGCTCCAAAACCCATTGTTGCTGCTTCAAAAGCAGCTATTACTGCTGGAATGTCTGTGGCTCCTCTGCACTTTGAGGGGGCACTGGGATGGAAGGGGTCTGCTGCAACAAGTGCTTTCCGCCCACCATCTCCCCGCAGGACTCTGGATGGTGAGAAGACACCCTCTGTCGAGGGAAGCAGCTACAGTTCAAAGCAGAGGCAGGATGTTCTTGATATTGATCTGAACGTGGCTGAAGTTGACGATGAGGGGGTCACTGATACGGCACTGATGAAACAAATGCCAGTATCTTCTGGCCTTCTTTCTGGGGAATCTTCCACTGAAGTGAGCTCAAAAAGGGCAGAGAGACTCAAGCTGGACTTGAATCGTGTTGATGAAAATGAAGATGCCCCATCATCAGACTGGAGGATGGATGAAAAATCCCCTTATCATCACTGTAATGGCAATCAAAGCCCGTCTCCTTCCTCAGCTTCATCATCAAGACAGCCTTCAATGAGGAATATAGACTTGAATGACAGCTTTTCTGTCTTTGATGATTCTCATGATCGACGTGCTGAGATGAAGTCAACTTCCCAAGGCATGAATGATCCTGTCATCTCTATCATGGGTACAAAAGTGGAGGTCAATAGAAAGGAGTTTTTACCCCCAAGTCAGTCCTTCCTGCCAAATGGGCAGGTTGCTGAATATGTGATGGGGACCAATTCAGCAAGCTTAGGTAGTGGCATTGCAGCATATCCAGTGATGACATATACACACGCACCTCCGGTGTTTAGTTACAATGGCCTCACAGTGGGGCCTTCTGTGTCTCTTTCACCAGCTATGTATGGACCTGGCTCTGTTCCATACATGGTTGATTCAAGGGGAAATCCTGTGGCACCACAGGTAGTGGGCTCTCCAGTCCCTGGCCCCTCTTACTCCCAACCATCATTCATTATGAACATGCCTGGCCCTCCATCTGGGTTGAATGGTGTTGGGCCATCACATTCAAGCCTTGATTTGAATTCAGGGTTAACAACGGTGGAAGGTGAGAACAGGGAATTGGGGGGCTCCCGGCAGCTATTTATTCAGGGGCAGAGCAGATCTGATGAGGAACAGATAAAGCCTGCATCATGGTCATTAAGTTCAGGAATGGCAGTGAGGCGGAAGGAACCTGATGGTGGGCGGGATTCATATCCAAGTGGTAACAAACAACAGCGACCATGAAATTAGAGGTTTTTTCTTTTAATTTTATTTATCCAAGGCTTCTTCCTCCAAGGGAGGAGATATTGTTGGTTTAGGAAAACAACAAAGATCAGTGCTTACATTACCAAACAGATGTGGCCCAGAAGATAGATAGAGGAACCCATTGGCTTAGGTGGGACAACGGGTGGAACTGAATAAAGCTGGAAGACTGATCTGATTACCAGCGTCTGGGTGGGTGATAGAGTAGTCTTGATTGTTCTCCTTTCTTTAATTTTAATCTTATTTATTTTCTTGTTATTTTTTTTTCTTCCCATAGTAAGGCAACTGCAGCCAGAGAAAGCTGGGTCCAGTTTATCTGTATATCTCATATATCAACAGGAAATGAAAGAATTGGATCTTCTTTAATATGGTGTTTGTTGTTATTGATGATAACAATGAGCGACTTTCTTCCTAGAGAGAAGATTTTGGTTTGTCCGGTTAGGAACTTCGGATGCCTTCTCAGAATGGGGAATCCCTTGATTTAGATTATCTTGATCGACCTGAGAAACTAGGTTCTCTTCAATCAGGTTTTCTGCTTGTATGATTATGGTCCAGACGTTGGTGTAGCCTTGGAAATTGAAATACTGAAGGTTGGTGTTCCCTTCTTCCCAGGCTAAAGAATAGCACCTGACTACTGAGCTTGGACTGTTCAAGTGATGAACCACCTTGTTTTGTTAGGGCCTTGGACCATACATGGCATTGTCTTTTCTCTGCACCATTTAGTCGAAGCAGCGGACAGAAGATGCCAGACCAAACATTGAATGGTGATAGTGATTTGTTTGACAACGGATTTTCTTTACCAATTTTGATATAGATAGATGAGATACCGCCTTGTTCATTGTCCAGGCAAAGATATTAAAAGATTTAAAAAATAAGTGGACTGAACTCTGAATTTCCCTTAAATTAATTAGTGCTGGGCGGTCCGGAAGTTTCAATCTCAACCCAATTAGCCTTTTATCCAACAAGGTTCAATCTCAACTTTAAACCTGACCTTTGTCCATGTTCTGTCTCAAGAGGTTTAATACTAGCCTAGCCTGGTCCAGAACTTATACATTATATATTTTGTATATGACTATAATATACTTGTTTTGGTTTGGCTATATGATATACTAGTGGGGACTTTAGTGGGGACTTGTATAATGCACGGGCTTTGTTAAATAAAATTAAAGCAAAAGAAATTATGTAACATTTTCAATTGGGTTAAATCACTCTAAAAGTCTGAATCAATCTTTTTTTCTTTTTTTTTTAGTTAGATTGGCATTGCTAATTTTATTAATAAATTTTAAAATTTATTTAATATTAAAAATAATAAAATTTATTTAATATTAAAAATAATGGAATATATAAGTGGGATACTTCTGAGTTCTGACATTTTCAATTGAGCTTAGCCGTCAAGTCCAACTCAAGCATTCCTTAACTTTTTCTAATTTCTATTAATATTTATTAATTATTATTTTTAAGTATAATTTAAAGGGTTTTAAGTTTCATTAATTATTAATTTGTTAATAAAATGAATTTTGTCCATTTATTTGTTATGATTAGATAAAGTTGTATTAATTTTATTATTATTTTTAAATTTGCATGGATTTAAATGGACTTTGAATTAATAAAAATAACTGTAAAATTAATAATTTTAAATGAGAGCATGCCTATTGAATTTCTGGCCCTTTTTTGGACATTTTCTTTAAATATTTTGTGTGTAAAATGTAAATAGTGAACTCCCTCTAAGTAGGGTCTGTGTCATTCATGGAGCTCAAAAAAATTAAAAATCAACGATCAAAACCGTTCCAACAGTTTGAACAATTAACTGCCCGGTTCAGCAGTTCATTGACCAAAATCAACGGTTTTGGGGGAAAATCCGTTTTTTGGAGAAAACAGAATCGATCACCTGACTGGTTCCCGATTTTTCTGGTCTGACCATTCGGTCCGGTCAGGTTTTGAAAACCATGACGATTTTATTATCATGGAATCTGGAGCACCAAGTACCACATAGTAGATGAGATATAATAAAGTTCTACTTGTGTGGGAAAAATGAAATGCAAAACTTTCAATACTAAAATCATTCCGAGTCCGACAAAAGCAGAAGAAGATAGAAAGATCCATAAGATCCACGGTCATAAAGAGAAGAAAAAATGAAAGTGATGAAATTTCAATCCTGCCTCTTCTACCTCCAAATAAATGCATACTTGCAGAAACAAATCATGGAAACAATATGTTATATGTTCCTTTTTTTGTAAAACATATGTTATATGTTCCTCCTCTTAGCAAGAACTCCATGGCCCTTAAAGAAGGAAAAGATAAAAGGGTAAAAAAAGATAATTTCTTTCATAGGGTTGATGTGGTTGGTTGCATAAGGGATTTGAAATGAAAATGAAAAAAAAATGATAATGGAAGATGCAAAAATCAAAAATAAGAATTTGGAAATCAAACATCTCTCGAAGATGACATGTTATAAAAAGGGAAAATTTCCGATTGGTATCCTATATTTTGGGCCCAGTGCCACTTTAGTCCCTGAATTTTAAAATGTGATAATCCAGTACTCCAACTTTCAAAACATGACAATCCAATACCTATTGTTAACTAGCTGTTAACCATCTGTTAAATGGGATTTGAAAAAGATACAAATGCCCTTCAAGTGTCATCTAATTTTCTTTATCAACCATTCAAACATTAACAAAAAATTAACAGTCTCAAAGCCTTGCCTCTTCTATTCAAGAAAGTTGAGGTTACCAGAATGCCCACTCAAACGTGACCCCAATTTTCTTGAATGGAAAAAACAAAGATTTGAGACTTAATTTTTTTGTCAATGTTTAGATGGTTGATAAAGAAAATTAAATAACACTTGAAGGGCATTTGTGTCTTTTTCAAATGCCACTTAACGGTTGGTTAATAGCTAGTTAACGACAAGTACCGAATTGTCAAGTTTTAAAAGTTTAGGTACTGATTTGTCGCATTTTAAAGTTTGAGGACTAAAGTGGCACTAGGCCTAAAGTATCCGAAATTTTCCCTTATAAAAATAAAGAAAAACATCAACAAAACATGGCTGGAACAAAAAAAGAAAAATATCAGAAAATCAAATCTTATGAAAATTCTTTTTTGTCGATCGTCTTCTTCATCCGAAATCAGTCTGAATCGGGTTTTGATGGGAAGTAACATGAAGACCATTTCTAATCACCTCCCAGCCATATTGGCAAATAATGGGACCGTCTTTTTGGCTAGAAAAGTGCAAAATTGGCGGCTATGTGATGGAAGTGCATTTCAGGTCTTCACCCACTCCTGAAGTAGCCTTGAACAACTCCTATGCAAACCAAAAGAGACGCTAATAAGTTACAAATGAACCTGCAAAAAAAAAAAAAAAAAAGAAAACAAACCTACAATATGAGATGCTGGAGGGTGACAGAAAACTTACAATCTTAAACAAACAACCTTCAAAAACAGATTTGAGAAAACGAAACTAAAAAAAAAAAAAAAACAAACAAACAAAATGAAGATAACCAATCTCCAAAGAAGAAAGGATTGCAGTGAGAAAACAAACAGAAAAAAAGAAAATGTCTCCAGACATTTTGGGAGGGGATAGAAACAAACCTAACGAGAAGCAAATCCATAGAAATTTTAAACTTTTAACACTCTTCGCTTGGCTAAACTACTCTATTACCATTTACATTAGCTTTTAAAGTTGAAAATCAATCCAAGATATTCTTTTTAATTACCGTAGTTCTAAATTTGAATTCACTACAGATTTCACGTTTTTCATGTATAGCAAGATGGTTATGGAATTGAGAGTGAGTGAAGGAGTGGATGATGACATAACAGATTAAGAGTGGTGGGAAGGGAGAGAGGAGAGAGAGTCAAGGAGAATGCAGAGTGAGGGTAATGGAGCAACAAGAGGCATGGTGACATGGACCGTCTTATTATATATATAATAATATGAATATAATAAAAATATTATATATTATATAATATAAATATATTATATTGAGCTTTGGATTTGGGGATCTCTCCAATGTGAATTGTTTTTTCTTGCTAAGTTGTTATGAGTTCCAAAAATAAATCAAAACCATCTAATTTGAAAACAAATTGGTTTTTAAAACAAAAACATGAAATATCTATTTTCATTTTCATGTTACATATATCCTACAATATTAATTTTTGTTTTTTTAAAAAACCATTATTTTGATGGTTTTAAATTTCATATTAAATGGACAATCAAGGATGGGACAAGCAAGGTTAGAATGGACTTGAATGATGGATTCAATTTTTTACTCATCTAACGTTTTCCTATCCCATCTTAAATTGCTCACACGTAAAATAGCCATTGATGTGGGTTCATCTCGTTGGTTACTTGGCTTGGTTTGGTTTAAGAACCAGAGAACCTCGTGCTGGTCTATATACCAAAACCGAACAGGAATTGGCTTTGCGCTTTATTATTGGTTGATAACATAAATGAGAAAACAAGAAAAACTTTATTGATTGATGAATAGAACTATTCATATGTCGGGCTTGGGCTTAGCTTTTGCTGAGATTTGAATGGACATACCTCGAAACCCGTGCTTGATTTGCTTCTTTGGAGATGTATGATTAATTGAATTGCATGCCCATTTCCCTTGTGCTTTCATGGCAATCATTTACTAATATTGATATATTTCTAGACCGTAAACAACGATTTTAAGTCTTCATTGATTTGTCCATGGCTCCGCCTTGATGAGATCACGTCCCCGCCCCATACCACATCCCCGCTGTATATTGAAAACATCTCCCAATGTTGTATTAAAATTGATGATGCCATCATCGGAAGATGATCTCAATACATAACGGGGATATGCTGTGGGGCGGAGATGTGAAGGCTGGCCCCTTGTAGGACGGAGATGTGAACTCCTTGATGATGAGCTTGTTATTCCTATGCACTTGATATGAAATGAAAAATCTGTCCATTTTGATTTATTGCTATATATTATATATGCACGCGATGGATGCATGTTCGTCGGCATGTCTCGATGCATCAAATTTAATTTTGATTCTATTTTTTGGACATGAAATTTGCCATTTAAGCCAGATGGGATCGTTTTTCTGTTTGTGATTTTGGCTTTCCATCCTTTTCATCATGTTTCATGCCTGTTCAATAAATTTTTTGGTAGGAATGAATGTCATTCCTAAAAACTTTCTGCTCCTATTTGCTCATCGGTAGCTTTTTACCAAAACTGATCCACATGAAAACCCCCATCCCTCAGAAAAATTTCTGGTGGAATTTGACCTTTTGGGTGGCAATTAATTCTTTCAAGTGTATTATATATATATTTCTTGTTTTCTTTTGTCTACCTTTCACTTGGTATTTTGTATGCCGATTTAATGGAGAAATTGCCTTTGGTGT